AACATTTGGTGAAATGCTTCGAGTCACTTCAGAAACTGCTTAATATTCAGTCCCCAGAGTATGTCATGAAAAGTTCTCTCCTGCATTCTCAATACCTTTCCTTTGCAAACAAAATGAGAGAAATGAAAATGGACAAGGCTGAAAATGAAGACCCTCTACACTATCCCTCACAGCAAACTGGCTCTCCATGCATTAACATCCAACCCTATTCCCATCATCATAGTCAAGAGGGGCACACAAAGGTTATAACAATTAACATATTTCATCTTGCTGACTTTTGAGCCAAAAATATTTGAGCCAAGTTATAAAAAGTAAGCCTCTATTTGGATTACAGGGCCCAATTCCAAAACCAAAGAATTAGCCTTTCTGGAGAGTTGCCTGTTATTTGTAGCTAATCAAATACAGATAAATCTTTGAAAGGCTCCCTTTTTATGGGGCTATTTTTGTCCCATGGGTGTGTTAGCCTATACTCTGATTTTAATTCTGATCTGTGAAATCATAACCCGAGGATAAATGTATGGCTTTCCTATCAACCACATTTTATTTTACTAAAACTCCTCAGGCCTTTATATTAATGTGATAAATTCTGTTTTAAAATCAAACTTTCATTTTCATTTCATTTCATTTCAAATTCAGACTTTCATTTCTAATAAATAGCCTCACCTCATGGGGCCACTTTGTTAAATTTTCTCCACCAGCTTCTCAGAAGGTTGCTATTTCAGTCATAGAGCACTATCATCCCCTTAAAACTAACTAAACATCTGCACAAAACACAGCTGCATCCAGAGTACCCACAGCCTAATAGTTAAAGAGTCTATTTCCTGATTCAAAAATAATAGTTGCATTTCCAAGGTGATAATTTAGCCAGAGAGGCAGCATTTCATTTATACATTCAGTGAGTAAGTACACAGTTACAGGGCTGTACAAGACCTGTGTGATAATGTGTGTAAACACACTCCTTTCAGGTGCCTGGGTGGCTCAGTTGGTTAAGCGACTGCCTTCGGCTCAGGTCATGATCCCAGGGTCCTGGGATCGAGCCCCGCATCGGGCTCCCTGCTCGGCAGAGAGCCTGCTTCTCTCTCTCCCTCTGTCTGCCACTCTGCCTACTTGTGCTCTCTCTCTCTCTCTGTTAAATAAATATCTTAAAAAAAAAAAAAACTTTTAAAAAAAAATTTGGCTCAGGTCATGATCCTGGAGTCCCGGGATCGAGTCCCACATCAGGCTTCCTGCTCGGCGGGGAGTCTGCTTCTCCCTCTGACCCTCTTCCCTCTCGTGTTCTCTATCTCTCATTCTCTCTCTCTCAAATAAATAAATAAAATCTTAAAAAAAAAAAAAAACACTCCTTTCCTTGGAGAGGTGTATAGTATGATTTGAGAGTCAAGATTTTTCTCCCCACAAGACATCCTCCACAGATAGAACACAGGTTACTCTACATGCTTCCAGGGGCTTTGCAGACTCTCTCAATCTACACTTCCCAAAGAAGTAGCGCTGACAAGATGAGTTCCCAGGCCTCTGTCCTTCCTCCCTTTCTTCTCTCTCTCTGCCGTTTGTCCACTTCTTTCTCTGTTTATTTCCTCCTCCTTCCCTTGCCCCTCTCTTCCTAGCCCTGCCTGTGAAATACAGACCTTGATGTCTTCTCTTTCTTCCCCCAAATCACATCATTCTCGCAGCTTTATCAACCCTTTGGGGAAAAGTCCCCAAATTTAAGAACTTCAGGTCTATGTGATGTCCCTTAAATTCCTTAAATTCAACCTGATCAAAATGGAATGCCTGATGTCCCCACTAATACCAATTCCTCCACCCTACTTCTTGCTCAGCGAATGGCCCCAGGCTGTGTTAAGGACTTCTTTCCTCCCTCTTTTTACTCAGCAGCCCCCAACCCACCCACCTGATCTGCTGCCAGTCACGTGGATTCAGATCTCTTCTGTCCACTACCATTGCCACCAATCCTAATCTAGGCACTTATCTTCCCCTTGAACATTCCAGAATTTTTCTAAGTGGGCTTCTACTTCCACCCTAACCCACCTTAAATGATGCTATCGTATTAACCTTTTGAGAGGAGATCTACATACTCCAGAACCAGCGGGCCCAGTCTCAAACTCCAGCTCTGCTACATCTTCATTCTGGGACCTTGGGCAAGTTACCTAACCTCTCTGTACCCTCTCATCATCTCTGTACACTAAGGATGATAATAGTACCGGCCTCGTGGAATTGTTGTGAAAATAAAATGAATTCATGATTAATAGTTGTGGGGCACCTAGAACAGCACCTAGCATGCATTTAAACACTCAATAAATGTTTGCCATTTATTGCCATTCCAGTCATACCATGGACTGCCCCAAAACCCATAGGAGTCCAATGACGTCCAATGAAATGGTGGGTCCCCACCCTGGCATTCAGTCCGCACCCCAGTGACCTTTCAACTTCATATTGCACATCCCCTTGGGACCTGAATACATACCATGCAAATTGGGGGACTTACTAGTCCCTGAACCCACTCCAGAACCTCCTTCCTCATCCTTGCTGTTCTTGCTCCTGGGATCTCTCCTCTCACATCTCTGCCTGATAAAACTCTGTCTACCCTTCAAACCAATTGTAACTCCATGAAGCCCTTTTCTAAACACTTCAACAAAATGTGCTCCCACCTGCCTGGGAACCCCTCTTAGCACAGTGGCTATGCTAACCTGAAGATGGTTCTCTTTCTGTACCTCTCACTGCACTGCTCTCATTCTCCCTACGAGCTTGTGGCTCCCCGAAGGTCATATGTGCATTCATCGTCCCCATATTCTCTCCAGCATCTAGCCATGAGTAATATGTTGGGGTTACAAAAAAGATGGAATCATGGCTGATCGGAAGCACAGCCACTGCTGTGACACAGTAGCTGGGCAAGTCCAAACCCCGAGAAGTGTACGCTCTGCCCAGACGGGGGTCCTCTTCACAGTTTCAGATGACATCAAAACTCACGATAGAAAGGGGATGGTCTCTCCAGCAAGTCCTTCTTTACAAGACACCAGAAATACAGTAAAATAAATATAAGAGGAATGGGATTTGTCACCCTATCCTAAAATAGCAACATTAAAATACTCAAAAACCGTTCCTCACCTATCAATACCACAATCAAAAAACCATCGAGCAACTGCGTTGAGTGGCTAAATGTAATTTCCTGCTAGATCTACCATAGAGCCATCCCTAAAGAAGCAACTCAGACCTCAATGACAGAAGCTTGTTCCGTGATGTATTAACAGCCTCTGGCATGTCAGTCACTGCAAAATGGAACATAATGACACATCCACAGTCCCTACCCTCAGCCGCACAGAGGTCCCCAAACCCTAACCTCACAAAAAGAAAGCCACAACAATGCACATTGCCAACAATAGAGTGCTCAGTCACTAAACACAGCTAGCAGTGACATCATCCAGGTATGGGGTCAGGGAGCAGGCAGCGCAGTCCTCCACTGGGTCTAGGGGCAGGGCTGAAATCTGACACCAGGGATTTAGACCTCATTGCAGCAGCAAAGGGCTCTTTCATTCCCACTTTGACTTCAGCCATTCAAGAAGCATCCTGCCTCCAGCACCACTAAGAGCAAAGTCCTGAAGACATCAGTCTCTAGAATCCCTATGATGAAGTGACAGTTAAAGACAGTTTGCCGTCAAATAAAAGATAACGCTCTTAAAAGTTGAGAATGCTCTCACTCTTCAAATGCCTCTGTGGTACCCACACATCCTTAGGCAGATCAGCCAAAATCCCTTTTAAGCAAAATCCCTTTTAAGGGGACTTGTCCTAGGAAGCTTACTAGAGTCACTATGGTTCATTCAACTATGTTCATTCAATTGCCTGTTTGGTTAAACAACAAGAAAGTCAAATTAAATGTTTAAGTTAAAATATACTGGACTACTCTGAAACACCAGCACTTTTATTTTTTTTTTTACGATTTTATTTATTTATTTGACAGAGAGAGAGATAGTGAGAGCAGGAACACAAGCAGGGGGAGTGGGAGAGGGAGAAGCAGGCTTCCCGCCAAGCAGGGAGCCAGATGCGGGGCTCGATGTGGGGCTCAATGCTGTGCTCGATCCCAGGATCCTGGGATCATGACCTGAGCCAAAGGCAGATGCTTAACAACTGAGCTACCCAGGAGCCCCAACACCAGCTCTTTTAATGAGAACATAATCAAGTCAATTCAGCCTTCCTATTCCTTATTATCTGTTGCTTTTATTGAGTAGAGGTTTATCTCCCTTTAATTAAATTTTTATTGCCCTTAAAGTATTAAGATATCCTTTTCCTCTAAATTAATTGCCTTTCACAGATAACAATTTCCTATTCTTATTTTACACTCTCAAATCCTAATCCCACAGAAGCAAAGTAACCAGAGAAAGTAAATCAGCACTCCTATACCACTTCCTCAAAGACAAAGAAGGTAATACTCGGAAGCCTGGGGCACCCAAAGAAAATAATCTGATAATTTCTCACACAAGTAAAACCTTACTCATAGATATGACTTGGGTACAGCTACCTTCAGCTAAACATGTCCCACTTTCCAAAAACGAGCTGCAGAAACAAAAACATCCTGCGAGACAACAGAAGCCTTGTGAACTGGAAAGCTGAAGCACCTAATACACACACTTCCCTGTACTCTGTGGGTGCTCCATAAATACTCCCGGGCTGATTCACAGGCCAATTACAGCGTCTAGCAAGGACAGAGTCTCCCTGGTCCTACTCTGGGGAGTGTTAGGTATCTACGGTTGCAATTTGTGGTGGTGGCAGAAAGAGCTCATAGAGAAAAAGGTCTAAAATGACTGGGCTGTTGACAGGTTCACATTATGTTAACTTCGCCTGCACCTCTCCCCAAGCATCTGAGTCTTCAAAAAATGGTGTTGTTATTTTCACCACGGGGGGGGGGGTGCGGAGTGAATAAAACTGCCATAAAGGTGCAGAGGGTTCCTTCACCAAAGAGCCAGCCAACAGGCTAAAAAGTTAAGAGAAAAAAAAAAATAGAAACTTACTTTTCATAGACCAGCTCCTCATCGATGGAGAAATAGTGGGTATTTACTGTGCTTTTTGGTCTATTCCTTAAAGTAGCAAAATATAACCGATCTGAAAGACAAGTTTAAAAGACGGGAGAAAACATATGAGAAGTAGGGAAGCTGAACGTGGGGAGTGGTGATAATACACGAAAGATCAAAATAATAACTGCTGCCCATTATTTAAAGACCCCATTAACACGTGGAATTCTTGCAGAAACCTGATCTCTCCCAGAAACCCAGAGACCAAGAGCACAACGGAGAGGCAAGAAGGGGACCCGACTGAGACACTCAGCTGGGGGCAGAGTTCCCATAATCTTCCCTGTTTCGGGCCAGCGGGAGCAGACAGAAGCTGGGGGTACCCGTAGAACTGGAGATGCAAGTTTGGCTCACAAATCTCCAGACCTCAGCAGCTGCGGAAGGGGAAGAGAGGCGAGCCTGCAGCTCCGAAGACTTCAAGAAGAGGAAGGGAGGAAGAGACAGGGAGGTGTGCCTGGGGGGGTGTCCCGAAAACCGAGGAGAGCAAGAGCGGGATAAAGGAGACCGAAAAAATCTACCGGAGCAGGATCCCCACCAGCTGCTGCGTGCAGAAGCCGGACCGAACCCGGCGCTGTCCCATTACCGGGCGGGGAGGCCATCCGAGGGAGCTGCAGAGGGAACCAGGGACGCAAGAAAGACAGAGAAGCCGGAAGCAGGGGGTCCTCGGGGAGAGGACAGTACGGAGAGGGGACGAGAGCGCGCTCAGCGGCTGCAGGACACCGGAGGCCCCTGGAGAAGCCGGAGGCAGCGGCTGGGACGTAGGGGTTAGAAGTGAAGAGTTGGGGGCGAGGGAGGGTTGGAGGATGCGGGGCGGCTGCTCCTCACCTTTCATGAACTCGCAAGCCCCGATTAGTTCCCCTGACTCCGCTGCCATCTTAAGCGAGATACGCACGGGGGAGGGCTGGGTCGTGGCCAGCTGAGGTCACCCGCCCCCGGGGGCTTCCCCACTGCCCAGAAGCCGGGAAGCTTGCAGTCCCGAACACCGAACCCGCCCGAGAGAGGCAGCAGGCGCCGAAGGCGGAGGCGGCTGGGGGGTCAGCGCGCGGGGCGCCCCGGGGACATTCCGTGGGGAACCCGAGCCCGCTCCGCGCGGGGCGCACACGCCCCAGGCTGTGGCCGCTCCGATTCGGACCCGGCTGCTGTCGCTGCTCCGCCGCCGCCGCGCCAGGGAAACGCAGACCAGCTCTCACGGCCGGGCAAAGTCTTCCCCCCGCTCCCAAAGTGATCATAGAGGAGGAGACGTTTGGCCCCGATCGCGCCCGTGGCTACTCGTGCGGCAGCGGGCAGGACTCCAGTGCCCGCGGGCTGGCAGCAGCTGCTCCGGCTCCTCCTTCGCCACCTCCTTTCAGCAGCAACTCTTCCTCCTCCTCCTCCCTAGGTCCGCCCTCAGACCTTCCTCCCCGCCCTCCCTCAGCCCCCTCCACTTTCACGGCTCCGCGGCCATCCCTTAAAGGGACAGCCCCGCTCCTTTCTCGGTGCGGGCCCCGCGCCCCAGTTACCAGGCGCCCCGCGGGTCACTAGGAGCCAGTTGCTAAGGCTTTGTTGCCGTCCACCAATTGCTGTACAGGAAACGGGGCCCTCGGCCCCCGGGAGACGGGCGGGGCTTCCAGACCAGAAACTTATGAATGAAACGGTGGAGTAGGGAGTGGATGTCGGGAAAGGGGCTATTGCGGCTTCATAGGCAAGGATGCGCCCACTAAGTCTTCTCTCCCTCTAGATTTTCCTCCTCTCTCTTTCACCCCCTCACCCACGTTCTCCTAAACTCTTGCGCGCGCGCGCACACACACACACACACACACACACACACACACTTAAAAGACCTCAGATCTCCGCGCCCTGCCTACTATAGCAGATCTTTCAAGCGCTCCGCATCCCCCCACCACTGACGGATCTCAATCTTTATTAAAAATAAATAAATAAAATTTAAAAAGAAGCGCTACGTCCTCGCTCAAAAGAACATGTACCGGTTTCCTCTACACATACTGGACTTTGATATAACTTGTGCTTTGTTCTCATGGGGGAAAACGTTCCCACCCGGTCCCCCACGTCCTCTCAGTGGGGCCACCACTGTGGGCACGAAATCATCACAAATGACCAACCTTTATATTGCTCTAGCCCGGGGGGGGGGGCGAGGGAGCGAGGCCAGCGACACAGGAGAGGACCACTTGAACACGGGGGAAATTAACACAAAAGAATCTCTTTACGTAGTCTTAGCTGAAGCGCTGCAGGGAGTGGGTCGTCTCAAAAAAGCCCTTGTCTTGTTTCTGTGAAGCTCCTCACATTGTTTGAACAACTTTGATACTGGGTGCCCGAGGACGCGTCTAATTACAGGAGAGTCCCTTGGATATGAAAATGGCGCTACGGCTCCATCATCAGAAGAGCATGCGCTCTGAGCGGTTTCTCCAGAAACAGAAAGGGATTTGCGCCCTCCTTTGGGAGAAAGGGGGCGCGCGAGTGGAGAACGGCCCCGCCGACTTTGAAGGAGCGCTGTGAGGCCAGCGTGTAGAACTCAACTCCTTGGTCTTAGCTCGTTAGTCCAAAAAGCGAAACAGTAACAGAAAATAAATATAAGCTGCTTTTGGAAACCTGAATGGTTTGATTTTTTTTAATTGTTCTCATAAGAAAAAAAATGTATTTCTTAGATATTCAGAAACAATAGAACATCTCAATTCTAATCAAACATGTCCTTGTAAGAGAGTAAAAAAAAAAAACCTAACATCCAATTCTTTAGACCATATAAATTTAAAGCTGGAAGAATCATTGAGAAGCAGCTCCTATACCCTATGCCCATACAGCACCGTTTAATCTTCACATGAAAAAAAAAATATGTATATATATATATATATATAAGAGTTTTTAAAACTATAAAAGTCCTGAAAGATGAATTGTAATGAGTGTTTTGTGTTGAGATGCATTCAGTGTCTTACAGGCCACTGGCCATGGCTATGGAGTTCTAAAGGAGGAAAATATCTCTCAAATATGTTGTCCACACTCACACAATTACTTGAATTTTGCCTGATATTCCCCCAGTCTTGGTGTCAACAATCATGTTGGCCAAATCAAATTATTTTATTGAAAATTTCTAACACTTTTTTGTATGTGAAAGGTGGCAAAAGAAAGCAAATGAATGTCAACAAACTTAACCCCTTTGTTTAGAAGTCTGAATTCATGGTGGTAATCTGTTTCCAAATTTGCTGATCTAACATTCCTGTAGAATCTAAATTCACTTGCAAATTTCCTAAAAACGTTTCATCTCAGTCTGTATTGGAAAAATTGCATGAAAAAAGAAGTCCACATTCTCATACAACATATAAACTTTTAATCTCACGAAGTCAATATAGTCTAATGAACTCTAAATCTGCATTTTCAGAGAAAGCAGCTTTAATTGAACACCCTCTTGTTATTTTCTAAAATGAATTTACAAAAACATTTCTTTCACGTAATTCCCTGGCTTAGAAATTTTGGTCATGGGGGTGCCTGGGTGGCTCAGCCATTAAGCGTCTGCCTTCGGCTCAGGTCATGATCCCAGGGTCCTGGGATCGAGCCCCACATCGGGCTCCCTTGCTTGGCGGGAGGCCTGCTTCTCCCTCTCTAACTCCCCCTGCCTATGTTCCCTCTCTGGCTGTGTCTCTCTCTGTCAAATAAATAAAATCTTTATATAAAAAAAAAAGAAATTTTGGTCATGAAGAGTGAATTATGACCTGAACAAATAAAAGTTTTTAAAATTAAGAACTCAAAATGAAAAAGTTTCTTTTTCCTTAGCATATTTACAATATGGGTATTATAATGAAATTCTTGAAGACTCTCTAAGTAATTTTTTAATATTGCACAAAAGAAAAATAAGTGATTATCAGTATAACGAAATCTGTCTAAACCAAAATCTGCACAATCTAAAAGATATGGAATATTCTACAAGGAAAATTGTAAACAAGCTAGTGCATACGCATAGCACACATCCACCTCAAGGTTCTAATGAGATCATAAAATGCTTTATTCCCTCAATTACCATGAGGTCAGTGTTCCTATTGGCTGCAGTTTCATAATAAAGGCATGATTTCAGTCTATGGAGGAAGATAATGGAAGAAACTTCTTTCCAATCATCCAACTTAATAAAAGTGTTAGGAAATGACTTTAATTTTGAAGAACAATAAAGAAACGTGTTTCACACATAAAGAAAATACTGAGAGAATTAAAATGTCACTCAATGAAGAAAAGGAAGGAATATTATACATAGAAATCTAACAGTTAAGTATAAAATTGTCTCAACGACAGTAACTCTGCAAACATCACTTGAATCCTGTCTCTCACACAGTGAGAGGCAGTCTACAGACTATGTGTGTGTACCTGCAGAGCTAGAAAACTCACTGTAGGAGGCAGCTCCAAAATTTGTCACCAAAATATGTCTGGTTCTAATTCTGCCCCTTGAAGCCGTACTGAACACCCTTAGTCATTCTTGAACATAACGCCTCTTCAAAAATGCAAAGGCAGCTCCCCTGGACCACTTCTTCCTCTTAGTCTTTCCCAGATTAAAATCCTCATTTCTTTCAACCTTTTCTTAAATTACATGGCTTCAAGTCCAGTCACTTTCTTCTCCAATGTGTCTATCTCCCTTAATAAGTGTGTCCCAGAACTGAATGCAGGCCAGTGATGACCTAGTGTGACTAGTTCTGAGATCAGAAAAAAGCACCGATAGAAGATTCAGATGAGAAGAAGGCGATGAAAAACGTAAAAGAACCAAGTTTGATCATTTAGCTGCAAAAAGAAGGAAACTATTCTCTGTTGTTGGAGAAGGGTAAGGATAAATTTGCTTAGGCTAATCAAAGACCTGACAACTGTGGTATTTACATATTCTATTCAAAGTATCATTTCTTATTAGGATATAGTATGGGAACATGCTCTTTTAGTTGTTTTCAGTCATGCTGATGTTATATGAGTAAGTAAAAAACTATAGAATACCTACTTTGAATTCTTTTTTTTTTAAGATTTTATTTATTTATTTGACAGAGAGAGATATAGCGAGAGCGGGAACACAAGCAGGGGGAGTGGGAGAGGGAGAAGCAGGCCTCCCGCGGAGCAGGGAGCCCGATGTGGGGCTCGATCCCAGGACCCTCGGACCATGACCTGAGCCGAAGGCAGACGCTTAACGACTGAGCCACCCAGGTGCCCCCATACTTTGAATTCTTTCTAAAAATTAATTTTCAGTTTAACTGTGAAACAAGGAAAACTGTGCTTCTGAGTAATTTGATATTCAAAGTAATTTGAATTGTTTAAATATTTTGATTCCTTGTCTGGTACCAAAAATAATTTAAAGCAATTTTTAGTTATAATTGCTTTAAATTATTTTATATTGTATATTATTATATATTATTACATATTATATATTATTATATATAATAATGCTTATAATATAATAATAATATAATAATAGTGTTTCTCAATGATTCTTCCAGCTTTAAATATATATATAATTATATATAATATATTATATATATAATTACAATTACAAACTGTTATTACAGAACAATCAAAATACCAAAAATATGTAGATAATGTGACTCATGAAACAGCTGCCCACAGGTGCTAAATCTTGGCCAACCCAGACAAATTCTGCATCACACTGATAACCAATGCCTGTTTAAGAACTCCAAACCAGAATCAAAGATGGTAAGAATCTGGAAGGATCTGAGAGATCGGCTAGTTCCAGTTTTCAAACAGGCTCCATAGAGCCTAAGGTAGCAAAGGCCCCACCTAGGGATGGGGGTGGAGAATGATGGATGAGGACACAGGGCTACTACAAAATATTTCACTTGTAAAAATGATGCGGCAGATAGAGGAAAGAAAACAGAAGAAGAAACTGAGGTCCATGGTGGGTAATTAATTTTCTGAAGTTACATAACTGATTGGTGGTAGAAACAAGACCAGTATTCATTATTTGCACTAATACCAATAATCTTTTCTCAATTTTCTCCTAACTTAGCTCATCTTACATTGTTTAGCTCATGGGTTCTTAAACTTTTGAGATGATAAAATGTCAAGCAATAATAATGTATATGCCTAATATTTTCTTCAAATTTTTAAAGGAAATATTGAAATAATTTAAGCTCTGAATGGAAAAATAAGAGATGTTGCATTATCTGCCACTGCTATTGTTGTGATATGGCTTCTATAAAAATCTGAATTATTTTTTCCACTATTTCTTAATAGTATAACCAGTATTCTATAGAACATAGTTTGAGAAATTTAGTGAACATTAAATATAACAACTCAATTCAATAATCGTCTTATCCTTGACTGATGCAGCCAGTAAAGAATGACAACTTTTTAGAATATGAAAGAAAGTTCCATGGCTAGGTCAATAT